TTTATTAAAGAGAAAAATAAAAATAAAATATTTTAAAAATTTCTAATATGATGCAATATTGTAAAAAATAAATAAAAATTTAGGAAGATAATACCAACCAAAATTGAAACAATAACCAAGCACACCCTATGCTAAAATAATACTTGAAATGAATATAATTAAAAATAAGCATTAATATTCATTTTTTATATATCAAACAATATATATATAATTTTGCATAAATTTTCTCTGTCTGATGCAAAGTTTGTTGGTATTTTACTTTATTTTGAATAAAGAATAATGTCTAAGATATAAAACTGGCATTGCCTTTCGTTTACCGTGTCAATCACCGGATGATGGGAGCATAGTGCCGATTCCCATTGTATACAAGACCACAGTCATATGAGACAAACATTCAAAAATCTTTCTTCTACCTGATGCTGTTGGAGAGCACCAAAAGAAACATGTAAGTCTTCAGTCTTGGGATGAACCATGTACTTGTTAGCTTTAACACAAAGTTCGGTCGAGTTCATCTTCGAGTTGAAGTGAATTGGATCTATAGTCGAGCTTTTTTAAGATATTGATGGAGGGAGGATGCTGGACTACTAAGACTTCATTGTGCTTAGAAAGTGTCATTTTGATACTCTAACCATATTCTGAGCATGTTGGTGGCAAGACTCATGCGAGTATGATTTTTAAGTTTTGATAAGTTTGTTTTGAGCCTCAAGTTTTGCAAAAGTTTGTCTCATCCGAAGACTTTCATGATACTGCTTCATATTGATATATTTGTAACTGTCATCAAGAATATCAATGGGTAACGAAACATATTCAACGGCTACCATCACCTAAAGAATCATACTATGAGGGTCATAGCAGTCCCTAATAAGGATTAGTGTAAGCATACGAGAACTGCATCTAAAAAGGATATATATTGTCAGTCGAGTTTACATAGCACAACTTGAAATCTTTATTTAATTTTTCAACGTATAACTTTGGATTATTATGTTTTTCTCTTTAACTCTTGTTGTGTATCTTTTTAAAAAAAATATATAAAAAAAATGTTAAGCTGTTGGTTTAGAATATTGGTATACTTTAAAGTGATTGTTTAAATATTTTGTTGGAACTATTAATGTCAGAAAAAATTACACAAAGTATTATTATTATTCTTATTATTTAATTTGAAATGATTTGTTGATTCTAATTATGATAGTGATGACAAATAAACAAACAAACAAACATGAAAGTTTATCGAGTTTTTTTTAGAATGGCAAATTTTTAATTTTTTACAATAAATAGTTTGATTATTTATATGTTGAATGTTGCATTGATGGATATAGAACTTTCTTTATATACCTCAATAAAATATAATTGCAAAAAAAATTAAGGAATTTTTTTTGAAAAAGTGAGAACATGATAGCCTCTTCATATTTTTCTACATAGATGATGAATTATTCTTCTTATATGTTACTAAATAAATTGTGTCACAAGATTTTAGGATTGAGTAATTGATTGTAAATGTATTTATAACGTAAAAACAACAAATAAAAGTTTTAGGCTTGAGGCTAGATGGTAGAAAATAAATTTACATAAAAAAAAAAAAATTTGTAAATCAAAATTAAACATTTTCTCAAGTAATAATATTTACTCTTGTGCAAATTATGCTATTTATTGTTACTCATTATAAAAATAAAATAAATTGCTGTAAAAAATAAATTTCTACAAGATGTTTTGAAAGAATTTTATGTAATAACGTGATTGGATTTGCGGATAAAACCAAGGTTAACCACATGTATCTATATAAAAATGTCTTTGTAGGAATTAAAATAGTCTACTCGAGAATGTAATTTGAAGTTTGATGAATGTATACAATCGTTGAATTTTAAATGTAGTCAACGTACACTGTAAATTTAATAGGTTTTGATTTTTCGTGATCAACCTACTGATTATAAGTGTTTTGTTTGTCCAAAGCACACCAGTTACACAAAGGGGATATATTGATCTTTGGATTGATTGACATTTGCAAGTGTGTATTTAATTATTTGTTTCTAATATCAAATATATATTTGTTTTCGTATGTGAAGAGTCATCTGATCTTCTTCAACTTTCTTATTTAATTGTGATATGTATTATGTTTATAGTGTGTATTTAGATTTATGTAATTTCGAGTGGACTTTTACAAGTATTTTTGTATGGATATGTATATGAAAAAATACTTTGATTAAATGTGTGATGTATATTTGGGTGTGTGATTTGATCTGCCACCAATAATACTCAATCCTATGATTCTTATAAATTATTAAATCTCTTTATAGCAGTAATAGAATGTTTCTGTCTTTTGAACATTTTAAAAATCTATGTATTCTTCTATTTATCTATGTGAATGATACACTTTTGGGGTTTAGGGTTTGTGTGGATATGTATATAAAGAAATATTTTGGTTAAATGTATTATATATATTTGGGTGTGTGATTTGATCTACCAATAGTATTCAATTCTACGATTCTTATAAATGATTGAATCTCTTTAGAGCAGTAATAGAATGTTTTTTTTTTACATTTTAAAAATCTAAATATTTTTCTGTTTATCTATGTTAATGATACACTTTTGGTTACATGTTGTTTTAAAAGCATTTAATATGTCAATAAATGCCAAAGTGAAAAGTTTGACATAAAATTTTGGGCAATACTAAAGTAATTTTTTTGAAATGAAAATTGTAAATAATAGAAAAATATATACTTTGTTTTTTAACCAAGTTCCCTATGTTGAAAAAAAATGTTATAATATTATTTTTTATATCTTGACGCAAATAATTGAAAATATTCATTTGGTTGCCTGTTTTGCTTTAAGTAAAAATCAATATCCTAAATCTAATTTTGATGTGAAATATATGTAGAATGGACGTTATTTAAATGTCATATGTTCAATTATGTATTTAAATGTAAGAACTACACCAACTATATATGCTTTGAGATATTTACATTATATGTTTAATTTGAAATAAAAATTTATTGGAATACATTAAAATAATACTATAAAATTCTGATTAGATTCAATAATAATTGAATAAATATGTTTCTAACTATACATACCTTTAAAAATGACTGAAAATTGATTATACATCATATATCTTTACTTTAAATTATTTTTACATTAGTTATAAATCTCAACTCCATCACATTCTTACATTATCTACAAATTAGAGTAAATGATAGTCACTGAAGCATTGAAAAAGGCTTTATGGTTGAAAAATATTTTTATCTAAAACTAAATTTATTGAAAATAATATATGTATGTATATATATATATTGGTGATAGACACTCTACTATTTAGTTTAGTCAAAATTGTATCTTTCTTGATAGAACTAAATATATTGAAATTATATTTCTGTTCAACTCTACTCATATGGGTAAGTCTATGTATTTCAAAATTTTAATTATGTTTTTTTTTCTTTTTTTAATACACATCAATTATAATCATGTTTAACTATTTTGAATTCCGACGGTATTAATTAGCTTTTACAAGGTTATTTTGTACATTTATTATTGTTATATGGCCTATATATGTTTGTATTATAATTGTGTGGGAGACTAATAGGCTTAGGCCTTTTTTGCATTTTATTTATGCGAGAATAAATTTTATATTTGTTCTAAAATGAAAGGTTTGTGTGTTTAACCTTAATTTGTTTGTTGGAGTTGTTTATGGTGTCCGATGCCTTTTCTATTGTGATTGGCCTTGTTTGATGTTATATATTGTTAGGACTGTTTTTGTATTCAAATTGTTTCAAAAATTTAAATTTAAATTTGTTTTGCGTCTTACATTTTCAAGTTCTATTACTTTAAAATTTGTTGGAATAAAAGACGAATACTTAAAATTTAAATTAAGCAAGAAATATTATTTATATATTATATTCTTTGATATTTTTACATCTTTCATCTCTCATGTTTTTGTTGAATAATTTTTGTTTATTTTTTTAGTTATTAACTTTATTTCATATTGTTGGATGAAATTTTATGTGATTGGTTTATGCTTAAAAAAAATACCTCTTTAAGTTTTGGGTACATGAGTATATTTATGCTACGAAGTACTTTTATTTATTTATTTATTTATGGAAAACAACATTGTCTAGGTGTTCGATGGAATCCCATAAACTTGTTATAAAGATCTACACTTTAATTATGTTTATTGTGAATTCTTTGTAGAATTTTTTTTTTCTTTAAGATTTTGAGTAGTTCATAAACTTTATACCATTGATGAAGGAGATTTCTAATTACGGTTACCGTTTCATATATCACAATCACTTTTATTGCGTATGAATACAAAAGTTTTCCATAGTATTGTGTTTGTTATTATAGTTCATCGTATATCTATTGGACTTATTTTTAGATGTTGATAATATATGTATTGTACTTATTTTTAGTGTATTTATTTTTCTTAAAGACTATAATAATGATAATAATAATAATAATAGTTTTAAAAAAATTGATTTTGATGAATTAGTTGTGAAATTCGTTTAATTAGCTTCAAACATTAAGTATCTATAATGTATTTGTCATTATATGGCAACTCAACAATCCATGAATAAGGAGACTCAAGTTATTGATGTACAACTTGCCACCTATTACTCATTGAACAATTCTTGTGATATATTCTTATATATACAATATTCCAATCTTATAGTCTCGTAAGGGATGGTGATGGTGTAGGGGTTGGACTTGTGACCATAAGGTCATAGGTTCAAGGAAATATATAAATATTCCGTAATTTTATACTAAATTAAAAAAATATATATATAGACAATGAGCAAAATTTTAGACAGAAGGAGAATATTTTATATATTACTTGATACAATGTTTTTCAATAAAAAAAAAAAAAAATACAATAGATTTCTTTAACTGTGATTTTGGGAGTTGAACTTTGAGTTTGTTTATTTTATATATATATATATATATATATCCAAAACATGTGTAAACATTTAAACAAACCCTTAAAACAAAAATGATAAGAGAAAAGATACTAAAAAAATCATGAATTATTTTTATTTATAAATAGCACTAGGAAGTAGCTTGACAAGTTCTCTGCTTCCTTCACTGCTTACTACAACAGAATTAGCACTACCCAATGAATGGGTAAAAGCTCAAGTTAAGTTTTATTACCTCTTACAAGTCATAATTTAATGGTAAGACTTATTTCCAGCATATCATCATCATAATTTAATGGCATTGTGAATGCTATACACTTCTCAAGACCAAAAAAAATGCTCACCAGGCCTTCCCATCTCTAGCTACAAAATATAAATTTTCTCGAGCATGAATAGATGAATAGATAAGAGGCGTACCGGGTGGGTTAAATGAAGTCCGGTTGACCTGTGGAAGTTAAGCACCGATGCCACATCCGGCTGTTAGGGTCTACGCATTTGGGCATGGCGATCACTTCAGGAATGGGGAAGTAGACGTAATGTGTGTTGCATATACCGACTGTGATTCCACTGTAGCCTGCAAATGCACCATGAACCTGCCACCGGGATGTTAAGATCGTGGTTTAAAGTTAGGTCCTGTTGGTGTTTTGAATTTAGATATGTTGAAGTTTGAATGGGAAAAGAGGGAATGGGAGAGGAAGACTAACAGCGTTTTGACCAAGAACAGTGCAGAGAATCCCGTCGGATGCATTTGCACGACATGCTCGGATCATGTATGTTGGATCTATGTATTTTACATCAGCTGGAAATTCAATCTCTTTGAAGAACTTCTTGATCTGCAATATGCAATAATTGAAAAATGAAAAGACTACGCAATCAAAAGGATCGAGCCAAGTTAACATTAGAGTACCAAATCACTGACTGCTTTTCTTATCGACAAAACATTGAATGACTTCACAAAAATGAACTCAGTAAAAATCAGTGTAGTTCTTGCTGTGAGGTTAGGATTTAATCAGAATTTTAAACTAAGAGACAAAAAGAATAGAACTACAAGTTCACTTAGACCCAAAGAGTGATGATAAACCAATAAACAATGTGAATATACATATATATATGATACAGATATTCGCTCACACCAAAACATCTTCACACTAAAGCATACAAACTGGAAAGATAGTCACAAAATGCAAAAAATAAAAATAACTGAAAATAAAATCAAATCAGAAGCTTGTTAAAAAGTGTCAGTGATAAGTGTTAAAAGCATTCACAGTAACTATAGACAATTGTATGAACACATCCTCCAAAAAGGCAAAAATATTAGAAGAATTAAAATGTAGAGTGCAAACATTCTCATTTATGGAGAATAATTCTGAGACTAAGCTTCTCAAATATCTAATGTGGCAAAATGGCACCTTCAGCTCCTGAATAAGTACCATATACAGTTTAATGACATTATTACAAAATTTAAATTTAGGAGGGTTACAAAAATGTTATTATTTGTGATTTTAGTCCCATAATTGATAATATTGCATCTCAACAGAAAATGCAAGTTCAAGAATATATGCTTTAGTTTTCTCTGTTAATGTTAACAACACACACACATGCGCACAAAAGACTAAAATACAAGAAATTTGTTAGCCAATGTAATTGACTTCATGGGGGACTAAATAAGATTACCACAGGATATGATTAATATAATTCATACGAACAATTTGTAATTTAGCATTTGAATATATCTCCACAGCTGATAAAGTATCAACATTTAGAAGCGACTTCAAATAAGCAAGGAAATAAGCTATAGAGAAGAACGCAGTGGCACATTCAGATTCAACTTAGTCAAGAACGGTAAGAAGCAGAGCATAACCAGAATAGATATCACCAAATTGATGGAAGAAAGCTAACAAAGAGATGCATATTGTTATCAGGCATCAAGAACTAGGTGGAAGACAAACCTCTTGCTGTATATGAGCACCTACATCTCCTAGTACAATGTTTCCCGATGCATCTTTAGCATTGGTTTTCTCAACAATTTCCTGCACACAGACATTCATATCATGATTTGAAATTTAAAAAGACTACCAAAAACCACCAATTTTGTGAAAATCTGTTGCATCTTTGCTAAGATGGCTATATTATACATCATGATTTGATAGTTTTTTAGGGATATAAAAAGAGCCAACTGTGAAATTATATAGGGGCAAACACAAAATCTTACCTGCCCAGCTCCCTCTGCAATACATACAACAGCGGATCCCTTTGATTCAAGAAGGTACTTTAGGTGACTTAAGACACCATGAGGACCATGCAGATTAAATGGCACCTAATTCATTAAAAAAATCCACTGTGAGAGCTAGCCGAATAATTGCACTGGCATTAACCTTTTTGACATATGTATTGAAGAGTAGAAGAACCTCAGGAATCAAGCATATATCAATTTGTCCGCTGGCAAGAGATGCCTGCATAGCTATAAACCCACTGCTACGCCCCATTAGTTTCACAATCCCAATGCCTCGATAAGCACTGTGTGCCTGTTTGGAAGGATGTTCATTCAAAAGATGGGTGTGGAAAAGAAACCTTGAATGACAGGTCAAATCCTGATTGAATATAAACTAAATAAATATAAGACAGTTTTAGACCTCAATATATGCAGAATTAATTGCTCTTTGCGCCTCTTCAACAGCGGTGTCAAAACCAAATGTTTTATCCATAAGCAAGATATCATTGTCTATAGTCTTCGGTACACCAACTACAGCTACTTTTAATCGTCTTTTTCGGCACTGGATAGAAAATATAAAGAACACAGACATTAAGAAAAATGAGTAGTGAAAGAACCACTACAAGACATGGTTCCATGTTCAGATACATATAGCACTATCAGCAAAACCTTCTACCTTCCTTTTAATTAAACTTAAAATTGAAAGTTGAAATTAGAATCAGAAGTGGTAGTCGGGGCCATTTTCAAATAAGGTCATAAAAAGAAATGGTTAGCTGTACCAAAAGGGATTTCATAACAATATTCAAGTTAAAATAGAATTTTTATCCTTGATTGCAGTGTATGACTGCATATATATATGTGTTCTTGTTATTTTAATAAAGATTATACATCAAAAAACTATATAATGTATCACTTTCAAATGACTCAAGAAGCTGTTGGAACTTTGAAGCACCACCTCTCTATTCTAATTGAAAACTCTTTTTATGTTTAGGATCAGAAGAGAAAATCTACAAACACTCTCAAACTATTCATTTAAAAGCAGAAGCACGATGTTTTTCAGAGTTCATGAAAGGTATCTATATATGGATACAGGACAAGCCCAAATCATGAATACCTTTTTTAATATCTAACTATATAGAAAACCCAGGTGTTTGTCTAGCAAAAAAGGTAATTTAGAGCTTGTTCTCTTTGAGTTTTTTTTTTTTTTTTTTCATTTTTATACTATTCAATCTTCTGATTTTCCTCCAACCAAATCAAATCCAACACCCATTTTTAATACAAAACATCACATTCTATTTTACCTCAAAAATATCAAAACAAAACAAAAACTAGGAAAAAACAAACACCATTGTAAGAACAACCTTAGTTTAATTCAAAAGATTAAACCAACACGAAATCGACTGGTGTGTTCACTTTGTGTTTTTGAATAATTTATTTTTTTATGTTAGATATGAAGAATCATGTCGATAATATAAAAATTAATATTTTGTATTGAATTTTTTACGTTTTGGGATGAATAGAGTATACATATATTATATATATTGCGTTAATATATATATATATATTTGTAATATTTATAGAGAATCCGTGCCATCCAAAATTGGTTGGGTGAACAAACCCGAGCTTTCTGAAAATGAAAACAATAATTAGCGAGATGCTATATTTAACGGAAAAACCTCTTCATGTATGGCATTCGCACCAGCATGCGTACCATTCCCACCCAGAACAAAGAGCATGTTTATACCTCTTTCCTGCAATAAATTCTTAAATTAGGCTCTAGGCAAATGTATGGTGATGAAAATTTGGTAATGTTTGTTGAAGATAGATAAATGAGGTAGATGCATCTATGAGTACCTCCATACTATCCACAATGTCACTAACTTTTGGTCCTCCGCGTGAGACACCTAATAAGCTTCCTCCAGATAGATGGATATTTTGGACCACATTCCTGGATAGCTGCAATTTCATATGAAAACAGTCAAATTAAGCATGCTACAGGCACGCGAAGAAATGTTTGTAGAGTCACATGACTTCACAGAGTATTGGACAAATTATATATGCTATAATTAAAAAAAAAAAAAAAAAAAAAAAAAAAGAAAAAAAAAAGTGGCAATGTCTCCAGACTTGAGAATAAATACAGAATGAACCGATGGCAAGCATGTCAAATCCTACAATACAAGTAGGAATCAACACCTTACTGTCCAACCTGAATAATATAATACGTAAATGAAATTAAGGTTACTGATAAATTGTTTTACAAAGTTTTCGGAGCTTAAATTGGAATTTTACAAATCAAAAGGCAAATATCTATTTCTGAAACAAGCTACCATATAGGCCATAACTTCTGAACTGTCACCATAAATGTTAATTTGCCTCAGAATTAAGCAATCCATTCACATGGAGAGAAGAATTACAGAAGCAAAAATATATATGTATAGATACCGACTATATAGCCCTCACAAAATGGATGTATGTACTCACAGGCATCTCAGATAATCTGCTATCAGAAAACCCACGATAACCATAAGGGATTCCAATAATTTTTTTCACGCCGTATATTTCCAGGGTAATGACAATCTGCAGAAATTACAAAGCAAACAAGTTAGATTAATGGGTCATCGCTTTAATTTAACAACTTCACGGCTTCAAAATGGTGTATAACTGAAACTGTCAACTCCCAAGATTAAATAAAGACATTTTTATTTGCATTTCATGAGAAAAGTTTTTCTAAAATATGAAACTACATGGTATATAAAATAAATTAGCAAGCAAAAGTAGTGCCAAAACTAGTATAATTGACAACAGGTGAATTTATTGCCCATCACCAGTTCAAAGCACATATGAATTGACTCTTACCATGCGAAAGCAATAAAAGCAGGGAATTCTCATTTCCTTATTCAATTGTTATATGAGGACTCTGCTATGGTCTAATTTGAATTGTATCAATACTAAAGACAATAAACTATCACAATCCACTTTCTTTTGCCTTATTACCTGTCGTATGACATCATTGAGACCAGGGCAAAGACCTCCACAGGTAACAATTGCTGCTTTTACATCCTCTGGTTTGAAATATATTTTTTCTCGAGGACCAGCACGGTGAACCCTGAATTTATATTAAAGTAAAAGATTTTAGTAATTAATGCAATAATATCATATAAAAGGAAAATTGTAATGAGTAATGATGTGCTTAAAGTGAATAAATAAAATTTAATGAAGTACAACAATGGCAACCTATGCTAAAAGTGACATAATCACATGAATATATACTATTTTTGGGAAATATCATAGCTCAACATGGTTTAACATGAATTGGGTAATTTACATGGATACAGATGCATCCAGTAATTTATGAATGTGAGTTTCGATAATATAATTTCAACAAGAGGATGTTATCACACAATTATGAAGTTGAATTAATTCGATATGGGCTACATGGGTAAAAATTCCAAAAGAGAGAAAACATTAGTTAGATGGACGTAATATCTTTTAAATTTTGTAACCTGAATATCAATTATGTATGACGATGAAAAAAAATCAGGCGCAAATCGCAATACACATTAAATGGTCCCTTAACTGATTTGTGTGAAATTTCTTTCCATGCCACATTACTAGAGTACCCTTGGTTTTTACATCTAAGACAGCCAAATGGCCAGCCCAACAAGCATTTGGCACACTACATACACTAAATGACTTTTCAGAAATGTTTCTAAAGCATGGCCACAAACAATATGCAGTCGTATAAGCACAGAAGTGATTCTCCCACAATTTATCATTTAGAATGACATCAAGTAGCATAAGTCACAACCAGGTTCTATACCATTTGATCATTTTGCACGACAAACTCAAGGTTTTCCATCAAAGACATGTTTTAAAAATGTGCAGCTCTTACTGCACTTCTATGTGCAGTAACCTCAAAATTCCAAATCATGAATAGATATTTTACCATTGCTCAACCCAAGTACAACCTGGATCAATGCACTCAGCACCAGCTGACGTTGGAGATGAATAATATATAACCTAAAACCGTTGGAAACAAAAGACATTTAAAACATCAGCATAAAAAGCACTAATATAAAGAAAAGGAAACTAAGCCTCAAAGTCCCAATTTAAAGGTATGCACGAAAACTAAGATCAACAACCTACGACAGTTTACACACTCCTTTTCCTAAACACTTCACCTTATCATAACAAAACATTTGTGTAGGGGTATGGACAAGAGTGAACATTCATAAGCAACTAAATATTCAACTAGAAAAATAGCTGACTTGATCCCAAAGCTAGACTAGCTTTTCCAGGCAAGTCCAAGATTCAAAGTATGAGCTCAACAAGCATTAAACTACTCATAATATACATGAACAAATGAATGAATGAATTAGTTAAATGATGATAAAGTGCCTTCCTTTTATATACAAGTTCATAACATGTATACGAGCAATGTATTCATACACTGCAACACTAGCAGGGCCACAGGGAAATCACTAGTTCGGAAATCCAAAAATGAGTTAGAATTTCACAAACTTAGTCAAACATAAAATTTATAGAAGAAGATCTAATTTCATTAGTTTAGCATTGGGATTATCGCCAACCCAAATGAAGCCTAACAGGAGAACATTAAAAGAAATCAATACCCTATACCTTTAGCAGTACCCTGTCGTTGTTATTGATGTAGCCATGCCACGCCTCATCCGATGGATATCCTTCCGCAAAATCAGGACTCACCGGCGTCCTGTCAAAGAAAATCAGATGAGATTCTTCCTAAATCTAAGAGAAGCATTCAAAAATGATTTTCAAAACTATAAGAACAAAAAAGGGGAACAGCACGAAATGAGTAGAGCAGACAATCAAGAGGTGTGAGAGGAACCTCATTTTGAGGCAGAAAGTGGAAGGGTACGAAGCGGCGTCGGGAAGCTCATCAGTGATGTGCGGGATACGGAAGCGAGACTCGAAGTCTTGCTGATACTTTGACTTCCAATCGGGATCGTTGAAATCAAAGGCCGCATGCTTCTCCCCTTGTGCTTTCACCGCAACTCTTGTCCGAGACAAGCCCCGCTTCGAATCGGAGCAGCTGTACGATCCGAACGGGAGGAGGGCACGATCAAACCGTGTTCTCGGCCGGACAACGAAAGCCGGCTTGACTGCCGGCGACAGCGCCTCCATTTACAGTAAACTAAAAGGCTAATTTCGAACTCCTCGATTAATGTGTATGTGAGAGTGTCTCTATATATATATAATTGAGAGAGAGAGAGAGAAGTGACGGAGAAAAAAAGGAGTGTTTGGTTTATAGTTGACAATGGAGTGCAGAGAGAGAGAGAGAGAGTGAGAGAAAAGAGACGTCTTGGCTTTGGCCTGGAAAGCGGCCATGTGAAGTGCTTCAGCGAATCAGCCCTTTCGTCTTCCTGGGCTCTGTCCATGTCATTTACAGGACATTTCTTTTGTTTCTATTAAATTAATTAATTGGGTATATATTTAATAAATATAAATAATTTAATTAATTTTATAATATATAATATGATATATAAATATGATTCAAAATTTATCTATTTCTTTTTATTAATAAATAAATATTTTTATTTATATTTAATTTCTTTTTTTGAGAAAAAATTAGTTTACAATAATTATAAATAAATAAATGTATTTTTATTTATTTGTATTATATAAAATTTTATTCTCTAATAAAAAATGATATTTATATTATATATATTTTATTTGAGATTTATTTTTAAAATATTTAAATACATATTTTAGATTTCTTTTAATCATATACCTCATCCTCAAATCTATGTTCATTTTCCTTTTAGGATTGTCATAAAAAAATATTCTCGATTTTTTTCTTTAAGTAAAAAATGATTACACTTTTATACTCTTTTTACTATAAAAGAAAAAAATAACAATTATTACTCACTTTTATTAAAATCCATACCCGATCAAATGAACACACATTTGCATGACGGAGGGAGTATATTATTTCTTATTTTAAAATTACTAACAATATCCTTTATATAAATTATAGTAAAATAATATTATAACTTATTGTGATTAACTAATTAAACATCATTACTTATAAAATATGTATATCTAATCAAATGTATCATTTAAGATGGGACGGTGAGAAAATATATTTGCAAGTGTAATTTGATAGACAACCCTTTATTGTTACTTGCAAGTATTTATTAAAAATACTTTATGCATATTAGTTAGGATTTTTTATTTTTCCATTTTGCACATATAATATAATTGCAACTGTATCAATTCAGCTTTCAATAATTTTAAAAAATTAAAAAATTATCAAGGAGATCGAAGATCTGAAAAAAAAAAAAAAAAAGAGAAATTGGAGGTCTAACCGAATAAGTTTATATGTACATTTACTCTCATCCAGACACATAGTTTACTAGTGTCATTTTTTCGAAATGATGACGGATTTCTTGTGAATTTTGATGCAAAGAGAGTCATAGTAAAATATAGTTTGTATTGTATGTTTGTTGGTGTTTAATATTATTATTATTATATATATATATATGGTGATACGTTTTAATAGATTTTTTTGAATTGGAATATGCTAGATGTAGGTATCGATACCAAAATTAGATTAACATTGTGTGTTACTCGGTTATTTTTTTTTAACTTGTTCACCCATAGATTAAATCACATCCTAATATTCATCGTCACTATAATCTCAAAACAACTATGTGTTTGTCACATATGCAATCTTACCGTGGTTTCATTATTTTGCTCGCATTATAGAGGTTGGCCTCTCTAGTGGTGATCAGATCTTATTTTTAACATTTGATATTAGAACAATATGCACATACCCCGAGTAGATTTATTCATTGTTAGAAAATAAGTCGAGAAAGATGTTCTACAATTCGTCTACCATTATTTGATGGAAAAAAAAAAAAAAAACTACAAGTATTGGAAGACCTATATGGTGGCGATCTTGATGATGTTTGGAGATGATAGATGGGATTTTATAAAGTTTGGATGGACTTCACCATTGAAGACAATCCCTAGAAAAATACTAGTGTCTTCAAATGAACTATAGAAGTGAAAGTATCAAAACTTCAAATTGTGAAAAATATATTTGAATATTTGAAGATAGATGTGTTGTCCACTATTATAGTCGTTTTACATATGTGGTACACCAAACATACGGTTTTGGACTCCAATATAAAAAATAAAAGTTGGTGAGGAAAATGGTTTGTATTATTACAAAGAAGTTTGCTCTCAAATTTTGATGTACTTGAAGAAACAAATACGCTTAAGTCTTAAAAGATTGAATGAGATTCTCTTTGCCTAAAAGATGAACTATTTATAAGAAGACACTTTCAATAATATTTTACTATTTGTTGAAGTCATGCAACTGGTGGAATTGGACGAAGAAATATCTTTACCGTAAAAAATGATATTAAAAAAGTTTGCATAGAAATATATTAATAAGATAAAATATGTCCACAAAAATATCAAAGGCGATCAGACAAAAAAATTGCACATAAAAATGATCACAAAATTTTGTTTTTCGTACTAAGCAAAATCTGTCTTAGAATTCTCAAAATGGATGGTCTACTAGTTGAAATACTCTCTCACATTTACAATAGAAATATGAAATGATCATTTTTTTACCTTTGTAGACACAACCAAACATAAAGATAAAATTAATGTGAGAGTCAAAAGTTATTTTTTGTAAATGTTTTGAGATCAAATTCTGTAATGTGACAATATTTAGTATTATCTCATATGATTCATTCTACCCCATCATGTTTTGAAGAACTTCTAAAATTTCCAAAATAATTGAAAGTAGATCTAATGAATGAGAAATTGAAGGTCCAATCGAAGAATATGAGTAACGAGATGGGATCACTAGCCCTTTTGTTGTCCAATCCCTCCACGCCCCCTCTAATACATATTGTGTATATATACACAGTATGTATATATGTAATATATAAATACATATAATATATGTATATATATCCCATATATATGCACATACATATAATGTATATATATATATATATTACTTTATGTGAGAGGTGAAGAAATGAGGGTTGGGGATCACATCCCATAACCAACCTATAGGCATACTTAGTTTCAGTTAGACAAATGGTTTGCTGAAGTAATTACTATAAAATAACAAGGATTTATTTATATAACATTTCTTGTATTTTAGTAAAAATGTACAAAATATTATGCGTATATTTATTGTGTGAAAGTCTTGTGTTAATGTAAAGTTTGCACGAAACATCTTTATTGTCCAAAACTGATGTTTGATTCTAAATAAAGACTTAAATTACGCAAATTTTATATAAATAAAAAACGTAAAATATCTAAAATAATTTTTTTGAATAAAATAAATAAATAAATAATTGATCAATCATTTATTTTTATAGTTTTTATTAAAATTAGATAACAATTTATCTCCAAAAATTATAAAATGAAGGATTAATCAATTATTTATTTATTTATTTTATTCAAAAAATAATAATTTAAGATATTTTGCATTTTATATTTATATAAAACTTGCTTAATTTAGGTATTCATTTAAAACCAAATATCAATTTTAAACAAGAAGGTGTTCCGTGGAAATTTTACATTTTCAACACAAACGGATATTTTATAATTTACCCATGATTTTTTTATATATTATGATCCAAAGAAAGTTGTAAGAGATGATAGTTTGTATTGCATGTTTGTTGAATTCTTGTGTCTTTATTTACATGGTTGTAAACTTTAGTAAACATATTGGTTAACCATATTTGCAAGAACTACATTAGCATGTAGGATGGACTAGTATAGAATTTTCAAAAGTCCTAACCAATTAACTAATCATTTAGATTTCAATTTAGATTTTTTCGTAAAAGATTTTATCAACTGTAATCAGGGATGGAAATAGGTCAAACGGTCTCTCAGGGGCTTATAGCCTAACTTGCATAAAGTCTGGTTTAGTCTATTTATTAAAAATATTAAATTTAGATATACTTTTAATTCTTTTTAAATAAACAAAATATACTTGTGCTTTACAAAAACTCTTTTAGCCTATCAGACTAGCCTATATCATATATATATATATATATATTTTATCTAATATGTACAAATATTATTTTTTAATTGTTTATAATTCATAGAGAAATTATATTTGGTGACAACAAAAACATATAAAAATTATATTAGTTTATTTTAACTAGCTTATTATTATATATATAACAAATGATTATATAAAATAAAAAAATATTATATAGATTTTTAAATAAACTTGTAAGTCATATTATACTTTAAAGTAGACCAAGCCTAAACCTTATAAATATATTTTTATAGGCCGATAAGCTAGGCTTATGCTTTAATATTATAAAGCAAGTTTGGCCTATTTAGCTAAAGTTTGGTCTGATCTTCTACCCTTAGTCATAGTAAGCTACTATGAAAAATGTCAAGAAGCCATTAGGCCATGGCACAATATTCATTTATGAGTAAAAACTCAACCCAATTTGAGGATTGGACAAGAGCTATGATAGCATCCTTAGGAATACATCGATCTACTACAAAAGCTCTACTTTTTATTCTGATTATTTTCGATATCGAATAAAAAAAGAGTCGAAGTTCCGGATAATAAGAATAATCATAAAAATTCTTATGAAAGAGTTTCAAAACAATAATAGGGGTTTGAAAGCGATGGCACCAATTGAAACATTTTTTTGACTGAACATTACAGTTGTATGATTAATATAAACATTGTCTTTCAAGTTGGACATTTTTTACATCGATATCCATGTAATAAATAGATGTTTTTATTGAATTTTTTTCTAAAAATCGTCTAGACATGTTTTTTCCTTTCCAATAGAAGCAGGAGCGGACCTATTAAGGGCCCTTTTGCCCCACCCCTATTTTATTTAGTTATTTTTATTTATTTTTAAGAAAATATATGTATGTATAATGTATTAAAAGTATTTGAAATAAAAAATAATAATAAAAGATATCAAATGTTAATTTATTTTTAATTGAAAATTGTACTTCTCTGTCCCTCTCAAACCGTCACATTTACCTTTTATGTCATTTTACTTGACATTAAAAGATATAAGTATTTTCTACAAGATATCCTTAGTATAATATTTTCTACAAATGTTCTTTTATTAGTATTATGAGACTCTTGGAGCCGGAGAAAGGTAGTATTATTTTTTATTCTAAAATATACAAATATAAGTATTTACAATATATAGTTACTAATGTTATGTATTTTGTTACTTTATAATAAAATTAAAATAAAGTATATTTTTTTATGAATAAAAAAATTATTTCATATATTTAAAAGATTTGCATCCCTTGAATTATATTCTTATTCGTCACCATTGA